ACCGCCTATGCTGGTCAAGCTATGGAGCAAGGAAAAAGATTAACCAATGAGCTTACAGCAGAGGCATCCTGGCCCACCCCATGAATTGCATATCATTAAGAGAAATACAAAAATAAATACAGAAATAAATAAATAAATAAATAAAAATAGAGAAAAAAATCAATAAATACGGAAATAAATCAATAAATACAGAAATAAATCAATAAATACAGAAATAAATCAAATACAGAAATAAATCAATAAATATATAAATAAATACAGAAATAAATGCACCTCATAATTGCATGCATTTCTTTGCAAATTTTATCTTATTTAAATGTATTTATTTTTATTTTATGTATTTTATTTATTGTTTTGGCAGCCACGGTCCTCCGGTTTTTCTCAATTCAAGTGTCTGATTCTCTGAAACAATTTAAAGTGGCAGTCACATCTTTTTTGCTCAATCCCTCTATAATTAAAAGAAAAATAAATGTATTTAATTAATTTGGATACATCGCATTTCTAAAATGAGAATAATCATTCATTTTGCTCTGAATTATTCTGCAGGATTTGTCAACAAGCTGTGCACTGAGGAACAAAGACTTAATCGATGAGGGTCACTTTCGCCATAAAAGAAAGGTATTTAGTATGTTGATCTGAAGAGATGAAAAGAATATTTTTGAGACCAAAGCATTGAATTTTCATATTTTATAGTTTGACATAATGTTTATGTAAATAAAAACATTATTTATGTAAGATGTTTGAATAAACCTGATGACTGTATCAAGTGACAACTACATGAGAGCAGCAATGATTCTGCTGCGAGCAGCTTCGGACAGGGAATTTACGCAGTAGGCGTGTATGCGCGTAACATTATTTGGCTGTATCTACACTGGCCGTGCACGCAGGTCCGCGGCTTCTGATGCTCTCCCTGTGTAGTCTATGGACAAGTGTAGAGGACAGTACGGGCCAGAGGACTGATGTAGATTAACACAAATCACATGCATGTGTTTCTCTTCATGGTCTCTGTGCACTGGTAATAACCAGCTACAACAGCACCATCTGCTGGTGTACTGCTAGAACAACCACATTACACTTACGAATGTCTGTCAAAAAGAGATTTGTGTGTAAAACAGAACCTGTGCTTCCCTATTAGAATTTTTTTGTTCTTCTCTTCGTACAACGTAGTTATTTACACACAGATTGTTCTGTTACAGATACAAAGTCAAATTACACACACACAAATCTGTTTAAGCACACACACAGTCCATACACTTGCAAATCTGCGAAGGCAGGACTGCGTCAAAAGCCCCACTTTTCAGTTTTTTATTTGTTAAAAAAGTTTAAATTATCCAATAAATTTCGTTCCACTTCACGATTGTGTCCCACTTGTTGTTGATTCTTGACAAAAAAAATATTTTTTATAATATTTTTTTTTATATTACATTGTATCGTGCTTTTTATTCTGTCGGTGCACACAGAGTATCTTTTTTGCAAATGTATTCCAATGTAGTTTTTATACTGCACATGGCCAATAAATGAATCTGAATCTGAATCTGAATCTGAATCTTTATGTTTGAAGCCTGAAATGTGGCAAAATGTTGAAAGGTTCAAGGGGGCCGCATACTTTCGCAAGGCACTGTATCTTGCTCGTTCAGATCTCTCTGAGCTGAGCTCGTAGTTGGGATCTGTTGGAGACCCAAAATAGCTTCTGCACATTCCAACTGTCTATGGTGGTCTTCTTTTCGCTTCATTCTCTGGTCTCGTTGAACAGATGACGCTGATTTTGGCCCACTATTTTGGTAACCGAGCTTGACCGTCGGAGCCCAGTCTACAGACAGATTAGTACCCACCAACGCGCTGGGGGAGCCTACAAAATCAAACCCAAATTAAGTCAATTACATAGTGCCTACTAAACAAAGTAGGCACAAGTTAGATTTCACACATACCTTTGACGAAGTGTTCACCGCAAATACGAGCATAAGCAGCCTCGCTCCTCCTGTCCTCAAACGTAGGTTTGAAATCCACTTTTTCCGGTGTAACGCCGAGATACACTGCCTTGAAGAGATGCACTGCCTCAGCTGTTTATGATGTAATGCAAACCTGCGCATGCGCGTCTCACGGCAGCCGAAGCATACCAAGATGGCGGACCGTGAATGTCTTTAAAGTTAAAATACGAACGAATTAAGACACGAATGTCACTTTTAATGCAATTTGAGGCGAGATGTTGGTGGTTCCGTTTTGTCACATGTGGGTTTTAAGAGTCAAAGTTTCGTGCCAAGTTTAGTTTAAGCAGTCAACTGCTCCTGTGAAACCACAAAGCTAAATTCATAGCAGCCTCCGCGGCTGCTGACGTAGGCTGATGACGCGTCCTGTGGCCACTCTACAGCTTACAACTGGTCTGTCGGGTTGATAATGGAAAATGGGGAAAAAAATCTATCTAATTAAATATTTCGTTTGAACACACTATTGTTAATCATATTGAATACAGTACGATACATGCAATAAATTAAATTTATTATTTCCATTATCAGACCAGTTAAGTAAGCTGTAGAGTTGCCACAGGACGCGTCATCAGCCTACGTCAGCAGCCGCGGACTGCTATGAAAACATTAGCTTTGTGGTTTCACAGGCGCAGTTGACTGCTTAAACTAAACTTTGCACGAAACTTTTACTCTTAAAACCCACATGTGACAAAACGGAACCATCAACATCTCGCCTCAAATTGCATTAAAAGTGACATTCGTGTCTTAATTCGTTCGTATTTTAACTTTTAAAGAAATTCACGGTCCGCCATCTTGGTATGCTTCGGCTGCCGTGAGACGCGCATGCGCAGGTTTGCATTACATCATAAACAGTGTTGTATTTATAAATACGTGACACACTAAAACCATGTGTTCTATGACCTATCGACCTCTGGGTGGGAGGCCAGGCCTTTTTATATATTTTAGGTGTCTTCTTGTGCCATCAACTAAACAACAGATGGATTCTGCTGTTTGGATTTCACCCCCCCAGTCTTGCTCCTGCTGACTTCTGCACTTTTCACCTCACTCAATCATGAGTGGGTTGACATGACTGGAGTCTTCTAAGTCTACTCATTTGTCATATGATAATACACATAACCTTTCTTAAAGGCACACCGTGTAACTCTTGGCCACTAGGGGCGCTAGACCTGCAACTTTCACGTTTAGCGCCCCTAGTGGCCACAAGCAACTCAGCACTGTCGCAAAAGTCAACAGTCAGCCGGTGTCTTTTGAGTGTGTATTCAGACAGCATGCACTGGTGTGTGTGTTCAAACTGTAGAGACATGCCTACAGATATTGAGAGACTCTGCTGTGGTCAGCCTCCAGACCGCTGCATTAGTAATCTACCACACATGGACTTCTATATCCTGGATGAGGGAGTTCTGCGTCTAGCTCGTGCTGCGTGGAATGACATCTTTGCAGTCGATGACATCCAGGAACCAGGTGAAGAGCAGCGCTCATACAGACATGCAGCTTACAGCACGATCCCTTTCGCGTTTCCTCTTTTTAGCCTCCTCCGAAGGTTTAAAATTTTTCCTTGCCTCAGCCATGACCAGGAGTCGAGCAGGTGAAAAATGAGTAGCAAAAGCCTTAGCTCCATGAGTATATCAGCGCCTGTAGCCGTAAAGCATATCTTTCTTCCAAGTCACGTGACCTGGTGGCAGACGGTCCGTCTGCTCGAAACTTACATGGGCGGTATTTCAAGAGGGCAGCCCCGCTCGGAGCATTGCAAGTGTCAAGCGCTGTATATTGGCCCAAGTATTCATATAAAATAACTCATATGTGTCAACTCTTTAGGTCACAAAGTCCGCGGTGTGCCTTTAACATATATTTACTTCATATTTTAGGTGATTTCATGTACTTAGATATTAGGTTAGGAAGCATGATTCTGTTTTAGGTCTGGCGAGACGGAGGAAAGGCCGGACCCTGGACCGGAAGCTGCCTGATACGACACGCCCCCTTCTTCCTGGACATCTGCTGATATGCTCTGGCTTGAGGCGGGGGCTGACAGTGAGCACAGGGCAAGAGAGGGACATGGATAGTTTTAGGAGCTCTCTTGTTGAATTTCTGTATCTGATTGTAAGGAAATTAAATACAGATGTTAAACTTGGAGATCTTTTGTCTTACTTCTGCATCAACTCGAACACGTCAGTCAAAGGGAATTTTTGACATCAACAGCTGAGGCAGTGCATCTCTTCAAGACAGTGTATCTCGGCGTTACACCGGCGTTCGTGAGCTTTTTCCATTTCTCACCTTTGGTACTCGAAAGTAACGCTTTTCCTTCTCCCTGTTGGAACGATTGGCACAGCCAGAAACCGCACAGAACTTAGGCATTTGGTCAGACGAAGACGTGTGTTTAGAATAGGCTTCTCTTCTTGGTTGTCACCATGTGATTTCCCGCGCTAGGTAAAGTGACGTCAAGTGAAACCCTGCTATTGCTTGCTTGCAATTGACGTCACGTCCGCCTCATTACATATGCGTATCACGGACTGGTGGTCAGCCGAGCTACTTGTTCACTAGAGCAGCGTGTCTGAATCTGCCTTTTCCGTGTGTTGTTTTAAGTTTTCTAACCGATCGGATCGCAAAACCTTTAATGCATACTTTAGGATTCCTCGTGAAGAGATTAACAAAGAGCCTCACACTAAGGACTTTACGAAAAGACGCAGGAAAAGTGGCTCGCTAGCATTTCACTAGCAAACCCTTTTACCTCTAAGGATTATGTATTTCAGATTCAGATTCATTTATTTTTGCCATTTGCAGTAAAACCACATTGGAAAAACTGTGCAAGACTACCCCGGTGTGCGCCAGACAGAGAAGACGACACACACCAGAGCTCTTGCCACGGCGCCATCTTTACGGCGCCATGCGACAAACAGTAGAATAAACAGCAGAGAGCAATAACATCCAGATTACACAGACAATTGGATAGACACATTGTGCTTTGAATAAACCACGGAATTTTTTTCTCGGGATGAAACACCTCCTACAGCCGGCCCAATGTGGCTGACAGAGGGGGGCGGGGTCAGGGAGGGGGTGAGTCGGAAACACAATGAGGAGTGGAGGGGAGGGAGGGAGCAAGATGAATAGGTAGAGGGAGGCGGGGGAGGGATCCGAGCTGGAGACTGAAGACTGAATAGTGTGAGTTGTTGTAGATAGTCCGGACTTGTTATTATGGCCTTGGCCCGAGGAATGTGAGATAAGAGTGGAGAGAAGGCACAGCTGGAGAAAAACACATCGCCTGAGGGGGACAATATTATATGCAATGTCGCAGTCAAAAACAGGCAGATATTCTATTAAATCCAATTAAACCGAATTGCGGCGCCCTCAGACCCTGTACACAGGGGCAAATCCAAGCCGGGTCAGAGAGTTCAAGCCTGACACACGATGTCATTCAATCTCAGCTCCAGAGTTTTGTTCCCTTCGAGTGAACTAGCTGCAAGATCTTTGATCAACTGTTCCACCAACACCACTCTCCGTTGTCCAGCCACGGCACTCTCAACCACGACTCGGTTAAGCTCCTTGTACATCCCATCAATTTTGTTGGCCAGCAGGTCGTGAATCTTGCGAACTGCCATGCCTCCGAATTTGTGGTAGAAGAGAACCGCTCCAAACCCAAACAGGAGGATTCCCACCACCAAAATGCCAAAGATATATACGTCTTCCGAATCTTCAATAGACAGGACCGACAGACAGAGGGGCTGATACTTGTATACTTGTCAAGAGTATACCCCGCTGGTGAAGTCCCGTCCGGGCACACGGGCTCTCCAGACCCACGCTTACGTGTTGAAAAGATAGAATCAATTGCGTTGAGGGACCAATTAATCATTTCCATTCTTGCTTAAAGTTGTCTGTGGCAAAACGCCAGGAAAAAGACAAAAACAGGAGATAGCAAGCAGTCAGAAGCAGGAGCGTCTGGGACACGTCTTTGCTCGACGGAGGCGGAAGAGAGTATTTACCCAGCCGTGCAGTCACAATGTGCCGTTATTACATCCCCATCTTTATTTAAATAATTGTCAGGTATGAGTCGGCGTTTTAAATAATCACTGTGAATGTTTGACCTGAAAAGAACACAGCCACAGACGCATTGTTTTGTTGAGAATGACAAGTTCATACCAATAGTTACTTACACGGCTCTGTACGATGCAGGATGTGTCCTTCAGGACCTTAACTCCGAGCTCCTCAACCCACAGACAGACAGAAAAGTTACAGTATCCATGTTTATCCAAACCTTCAGTTGTTTAGCAGTGCAAAAGCTTGATTGTAACACTAGCTGTGGATTAGAATCTAAAGTGAAGAAAATGACAGTCTAGGATTGTGTCTTTATTTCAGACAGAAGACATGTTTTATTGTCGATGGTAGAGGCAGCATAAACTGATGAACTTAATGCGTTGCGGTGAAGATGTAATCGAACTCTCATCAGACACATTTTTCCTTTAACCTTGCAGGCATATTTATTTTATCGACAGGCGAGAGTAACGTAACTGTGCTCTCCCCAGCATCACCACATGGAATAACTTACACACGGAACAGGTAGTGTAGGCGTCAGATAACACAGAGGTAAAGTCAACACTGCCCTCTAATGGACACGACAAGTAAGGGCGTACAACAGTACTACACTTAACACCCCCACTCGCTCTTAGCTTATTGTGGTACATTCTTTTTGATAGAAAATAAAACAACAAAAACACATTTTGGCACACTATATGCTTTTCTTACACTCTAAGTGCCAAACAAATATTGAGCAAACTTCTTCAGTTGTAGCTTAGTGGCTGGTTTTGTCATCAAGTCAGCAATCATGTTGTCAGTAGGACAGTAATCCAAACATATTCTCCCACTATTCACAGTTTCACGTATAAAATGATATTTGATATCAATATGTTTGCACCTTTGTCGGTTTACTGGATTTCTAGCTAGTGCAATAGCTCCTTGGTTGTCATCGTAAACCTTGGTTTGTGCATACTGACACTTATCAATACCCTTGAGTAACTGTTGCAAATACATACACTCCTGTATGGCTGACGCTAAGGCCATGTATTCTGCCTCACAGGTAGACAGTGCAACTGTTGGTTGCTTTCGACTCTTCCATGAAATGAGTGCACTTTTCTCACTTAAACTGGCACAGTACCCTGTGGTGCTACGTCTGTCTGTGACCTCAGATGCCCAGTCAGCATCACTGTGGACTATTAGACCAAGTTCACCTGCGTCATCCTTTTTAAAGCATAACCCACGGTCTGTTGTACCTTTAAGATACCTGAACACATGCTTTGCAGTGTTCCAATGCTCCTCACTTGGCTCAGCAAAATGCTGGGAAAGTTTACTGACCACATAACTTAAATCGGGTCTAGTGCAAGTAGCCAAATAGATCAAACTTCCCACTGCCTCTCGATAAGTCCTTGGTTCTTCCATTTTTACAGCATTTTCTGTGTATTCGAGTTTTGACTCGCATGGGGTCTCTCTGGCCTTACAATCCTGCATCCCAAATCTGGAGAGGATTTTGTTCACATACCTGTGTTGTGACATTGTGACTTGATCCTCTGACTGTTTAAAATCTATCCCTAGAAAACTGTTTAATTTCCCCAGGTCTTTCATTTTAAACTTCTCAGTGAGCATCACTTTGACATTTTTCACAACCTCCTCATTGTTAGCAGCAATTATCAGATCATCAACCCACACAATCAAAATCACTTTTTCCTTTTCTTTTTCCCTTGTGTATTGGCAGTTATCAGCAGGATTTTGATCAAAACCGTTTTCAGTGAGATATGCATGCAACAGAGAATTCCAGTTTCGACCTGACTGCTTGAGACCATATAAGTGTGGCAGTATGCCCAGGAGGCGGGCTATCTATCGAGGGCCGGAGTTCTCATTGGTCCCTAGCACTGGCCGGCGACCCATAAAAGTGCCTTGCCTTTGTTGCCTCCCCCTTTGACCTCACGTAGCCGCTCGCAACGCTGCACGTCATTTCCGTGTTCCTCTGCCTTACGGCCGGTAAGCATGGCGCCGCTCCTCAATGTATTTCAAATGTAGCCTTTAGTTGCTAATGGGGCACTGTATTCTAGCACGGACAGTGGCGCAGGTACACGCGGACCCACGTCTCCTCTTACGCTGTAATCGGTAAGGCTACTCTCCCCTTTTTGAGCGCTGTGGTCTGCTTAGCATGTTGACTTAGCTTCTGTCGTTGCTAGGCAACGGGTGTAGCTCTCTGGCTGCGCCTCTCCCTCTTGGAAGAGCTGCACTTCAGCTTAAAGTGGTAAGCAATGTCTGTTTGCGGTGTAGGAGCACCACATTTCACAGTAATGAGCCTCCCCCCCTTTCCTTCAGATGCTGCTGTTTTGCCCTTATGTTGCTTGCTACTGAAAGTTTAATTTTGGTCCGCTATTGCTCGTTTTGTGCCTGTCTCGTCTGCCGGAGGGAGGATAGCCGTCTGGGGTCAGCGGCGTCCTCACTGTCGTCAGCCACGTCTTGGTGCCCTACGGCACGCATGTGGCCATAACTCGTCGGGTGTTTTTCCCCTTGTTGCCTGCCAGTGACTACCCTGGAACACGGACTTTATGGAAGAGTATTTCAATGCTCAGTGACGTTGCTCTGTGACGCTTCACGCTTAATTCCTGTTCACAGGACTTGAAGGACAATTTGAACTGTGTATAAGTCGGACGTTTACACCATACGCCAATCTGAATTGTAAATATTGTTTTTGTGTTGTAGGAGCTGTTATCCAGTCTGGGGCGGTGGAGGTGTGCGCCACAGGGGTGATCACCCGTTTGGTTTGCAGTGCACTTTCTTATTATTTGCTGTGTGTGTGTCTGTGCTTTTTATTTGGTGACTCCCAGCCCCACTCAGTCCACGGTGAACATCCCAGCTCCTATACTCTCCCGGTGTGCGTGTGTGTGTGCTCTTGAGTGTGTGTGTGTGTGCTTTTGAGCGTGTGCGTGTGTGTGTGTGCGTGGGTGTGCGTGGGTGTGCGTGGTGTGTGTGCTGTACATTTTATAGTAGCCATTTTTAAAAGGATATATATGAAATAAAAATTGTTCTTGAGCAGCCCAGTGTAAATAAACATTGTTAGATTGACTAAACCGTCTCTGCCTCTCAGTAAAATTGACCCTGTGTGCTTTCAAAATTCTTCAGGTATAACTCCTGAAGTGGCGTTGCTGGTTTTTTTGTCAGGAGTTTTCCATTATTTAATGAGAAATAATCAAGTTACATATAACCCCCTGGCTGTCACATGTATCTCCCCTTAATGTAAATGTATTGTGCACTGCTTGAAATGAGGGCTCTTGCCATAGTGATTAACATTGACAAGTTTTAGGTTCCAGCAACATAATGAGAACACAAACATCTGTACTGCTACATTCATCATTTTAATCTGCAACTTATATTGTATATTTCCTGTATGTGTGCTAAAATCATTGATTAATATCCCCAGTGTGGGAAGAATAAAGAATATCTTATCTATTCTACTTCAGTGTACCACAGAGCATGTAGACCTACAGTAGTGACAGTCGTAAGGTCATTTATAGAAATCCTTTGCCCTTCCACACAATCTGTATGCAGGGCTGCTATGAGATTCTGGTAAGGGGGTGTCATGCAGTATAAGGCTGCAAATGATCCATGGTTGTACTTATTGCTGGCTTCTACGTACTGTAATAACATGAATGTGTATATTGTCTTGTTACAAGTACAAAAAATAGGATCAATTATGATGGGGTCTGCAATAAAATATTGGCAACATTTGTTTGGGCCTGTATTTTGAGCATCCTTCAGCAAATGAGATTTGGCCCTCAGCCAAGACATTGGTTATACTTAAGTAATTATACTATTTTAGTTCATATTTGTGGATACCATTTTAATATTTTGACATTACATTATTTTAGTATTTTAACATAATGAGTCAATACAAAAAATGTTAAAGTATTACTATGTTCGTAATAGAATGTATGCTCTGAAATGGACAAACGAGAATTCTTAAAGTGATTGTCTGGAGTTTGTCAGAAAGAGAGACAGAGGTACTTGATTTGAAAAAAACGACGCAAGCTCCCACCCCTTTCCTTTCTGATTGGTCTACATCGACGTTTCCGTAACACTTTTAAATGTTAATCAGAGAACACATTATACATATACATTATTAATACACATGCACGGAGGTTTTCAGAATTATTTGTTAACGTTTTGATGAATAAAATAATGTTTTTATGCACAAAAAAAGCGATCGCGGCAAACCCGGAACAAGCTATTATCATGAATTGCACATTATAGGACACATATGCAGAGGATCTGATTATGGATATAGGTTCAGTATATACATAAGTAACTTTTCACGTAGTTCCAGAGCCTAATAGAGGCTTGATTCGGAGGTTCCGCGAAAACAAACAACTGAGCATGCGCAGAGCTATGAGCATGAGCGCCGATGATTGACAGCCCTTAGCATGACTCGATTGGTTAACGTGGACGGCATCTTGGATTCTGAACTATAGCTAAGAGAAGGGAAGGTGGGACTTGTCGGTAATATTAGAATTAATAAAATGACTTATTTTATATCAACATTTAAGGCCAGGAGGTCAATTTAACACATACCCCTAAAATTTGTAATTCATTTAGAGTTACAAACTATCACTTTAATTGTATGAAAGTGAAGTGTTGGTTATATAGTAGTAGCTGTATACAGAAGGAACAATTCATTGCTTGCATTGTGTTCCTTCAAAGCGATTTTTCTCCAGCTGAACTTTAGCCTGTTTGAACCCATGGGACAGCTGGGATTTCTCTGTGCACAACTGTGATGGCTGTTCCTCTCTCCCGCTGCTCCTGTCTCTTGCCATCTCCTCTGCTCTCCTCTCTCCTCCACTATCCCCTCCCTCCTCTCCTCACCCTTGCTCTTCCCCTGTCTTCTCCTCTCGCCTCCTCTCCTCCTCTCTCACGCTTGTTCTTCCTCTTGTCTCTCCTCCTCTCCCCTTCAGTCTCCCCTTCAGTCTCCTCTGCTGGAGTGTAGGCTCAAACTGGAATCTCCTGGCTTTTTTCACATCCAGGTCAGCAGAGCCAATACATGCATCAAGAGTTCCGAGCTTCCGGCTCAACCGCACGGCATTGTGGGTAGTTTTGACAAAAAGGTGAGCATCAAATCACGCTGCCATATTGGATTACTTGTTGTCAACGTGATCGCTCTCCCCTGTTTCCAGCCCATAGATTATTTTAACAGCTAAAAAAAATCACCAATTTCAGACACTTTGAAGGTAAGGTAAAGATTTTTTCATTTCACAAAAAAGCAATGCATTTTTTTCTTGTGGTTTTAGATGTAAACACAACCGACTGACTATAGAGCTACATGTAGCTTATGCTACTTACGAGGATCGAATGCTTACACGCGAGCTTTATAAACTTGCCCAAAGCTGTACTTTGGAAATATTTGTCTGGTGTGGAGCTTCTGAATGTAGAGAAGGCCAAATACCTGAGGCACGTAATCAGGAGTGACCTCAGTGATGACGATGACATTCAAAGGCAGTACTGTAAGCTGTGTGGACAGGCTAACACTTAACTCATTCACTGCCAGCCATTTAAAAAGCAGCATCCCTCATACTGCCAGAGATTTTGGACATTTTTAGTGTTTTTCCGAACCGCATAGAAATGTGAGCCCTTGGTTGACACAAGTATGAAACATACCAAATGAAAGCTCTATCCCTTGGCTTTCATTAAAAAAAAAAGTAAGTTTCTAACCCTTTTAGTTTTTTAGCAATTGAGAGTGCAACATAGGTAACTTTCACACAAAATGCTGTTTCCTGACCAAGATTTGGAGAAAACAGCCTTTTTGTGAAACGCACATTTTCAAGCAGAAAAGTGTTTTTTTTTGTCTTTACTGATATTTTACAATGTATGACAGTTTCTTACTATGACACAAAACAGAAACAATACTTTGAATTGTATTTTTAATGTATAATTATTTTTAAACAAATTAAACGTGTACACACAATACACGCAAAGGATTGTCTTATGTACACATAAAATATTCAACTTGTATACAATAAACACTTTGTATACAAATATACAGTAAAAATAACACTTTCTGAACACTTTGTGAAACAATTTTACTTTAGTTTATAAAGAATAGTAATTGGGTGACCCCACACTCTGCTGAAGTGTGGGGTGGAATCTACTTCCTCCGCACTCCCAATACATTTCCAGGTTAGTTTTTTTTTTACAAACCCAGAGAGAAATGTCAAACCAAAAAAGGTTTTTAGCTGCTAGACTGTCACTGGCTTCCATGCAGACTCTGGGATCAGAGCAACAGAGTCTCTCTCCCTGTTCCAAAGCAGCAGCGGGCGCGCTCCTGACGCACCCTCCACAGTGAGACGCACCACAGCAGAATGCACATGGTGCGGTAAATCTAACACTTGTTGCTCATCATGGATCTCGCTCACCGGTCTGCCATGGATCACCTTCCCCTTTTAGCCCATTTCAGGTCGTTAGACAGAGTTAAGCCCAGGAACTTGCACTCCTCTACGATCTGCACCTGGGAGTTGTCAATAACAACAGGAGTGTGAGAACTGCTATGACTGAAGTCAAAGACAAGTTCACATGTTTTTGCAGTGTTCAGCTGGAGATTGTTTACTTTACTCCACTGAAAACCATGTTCGATCTCTGCTCTATAAGAGGAATCATCATTGTCACTGATGAGACATCAGGTCATATTTGATGATCAGATTTGAGTCAGAGGAGGACACACAATCGTGAGTGTACAAAGTAAAAAGCAGGGGACTCAAAATACATCCCTGAGGAGAACCAGTGCTCACAGAAACAACATCAGAAAAACAGTCATTGATTTTTACTCTCTGAGATCTGTCAGTTAAAAAGCTAAAAATCCATTTACACATGGCAACATTCAGACCAAGGGACATTAGTTTTTCAACCAATATGCTTGGGACAAGACAATTAAAAGCAGAGCTATGATCAATGAACAGCATTCTCGCGACAGATTTACTAGTGTCCAAATGAGTGTAGACAGAGTTCAGAGCAAAGGAGATGGCATCCTCCACACTCCTGTTCTGTCTGTAAGCAAACTGGAGCGGGTCAACACTCACAGGGATCTGGCTCTTAATAAACTCCAGCACGAGCCGCTCAAAAGTCTTCATAAGAACAGACGTGAGAGCCACTGGGCGGTAGTCATTGAGACATGTCACTGGAGACTTCTTAGGAACTGGAATAATGGTGGACCTTTTAAAGCTCACCGGCACCGTACAGCTCCTGAGTGACAAGTTAAAAATGTCCGTTAAAACAGGGGCAAGTTGCTCGGAGCACAGTTTCAGGACGCGGGGAGGAATGCAGTCCGGGCCTGCGGCTTTCCGAGCTGTGGTCCTGGACAAGACCCGCCGTACTTCATCCTGAGTCACTGTGAAGGCACCCTGACATTCGGGGAAGACAAAAGGCAGGGGATCAGCAGATTCAAAGCGGCAGTAAAAGTCGTTGAGCTCGTTTGGCAGAGTTTGGCCAGCAGCAATTTTCCCTGCACTTGGTTTCCAGGACGTGATAAGACTGATCCCCTTCCACATGCGTCGGGGGTCCTCTTCCCCAAAGAAGCCCTCTAACCTGTCCCCATAGGAACGCTTAGCAGCTTTTATAGAGCGTTCCACAGCGTAGCAGGACAGCTTGTAAGCGCCCTCGTCACCGGATTGAAACGCCAGTGTCCGCTCCTTGATTCTAAGTTTGACATCAGTGTTCATCCAAGGTTTTTGGCCGGAGTGTTCTTTGATAATTTTATAGGGGACACA